GGGGGGGGCGCGGCTCTGTGAGCCTGCAGCCCTGGGATCTTGGGCAGGCCAGCATTTTTTAAGGAATATTAATTATAGCCATTTGTTTTTATTGTTATGATAATAACCATTTATTGACTGTCTATACCATAGACAGACCCAGTACCATAATAGTATAAATTTCAAATATATGTAATAAGAGTTTTGTAAAAATCTAGATGCACTCAGTTTTTAGATCACTAGCTGATTCCCAGCAGAAGAGCTCTTGGAATGAAGTTTAATAAAAAAACAGTTTTAAGTACAACAGTTTTAAATATTCAGATAGTATTGTTCAATAGTTAACTCAACAAGAATAATATGAAATGTAACCAAGATGCTTTTAAAGACAGTTCAGTAGAACAGGCTTAAAATCTAATGAGAAAGAGCTCAGTCACCTTTTGTTTATGTGCTTGGTAGGTTGAAAGCCCTCTGGAAAGTCCATCAGCATTCGCTGATATGCCAAACATCTATTAAAAACAACTGCCAGGCACTATGCTTAGGCCTAGGAATGCAAACAAACAAGACAGCCCTGAGGGATTTAAAGAAACAATGTGTGAGACAATCAATCCTGCCGAAATATTTACTGCTATCACCTGGAGCTAGGCACTGTTTGTAAGAACTAAAATATGAGTGTAGAAAAATTAATTAACTAATCTGTTTGTGAAGTTCACATCCTGGGGGAGACAGAGAAAGCATGAGATAAGTAAATACAGTGTACGGGACATAGGGGTGAACTAGGCGGATAAACCAAGGCGATGAAGCATGAGGAAGATGCTACCATTTTAAATGGCTGGCTAGGAAAGACACAAGACTCTTTGGTGACCTTGCGGGATGCAGGTATCAGGGAGAAGGTCTAAGCTCATTGAATAGTCATCCAAAAGCTTTCCTGTACCAAGATCAAGAAGAAGGACGTGTGACTGCCAGGATGGGAAGAACAAGAAGGAAGAGACAGCCCTGAAGACACAACATAGGTCCTGTTGGCTCCCTTAAGGATTTGGGCTTTTCTTCTGAATGAAAGGGGGGTCATTAGTGAGACAAGAGTCCCCATTTTTAAGCAAAAGATTGACAGAAGTGTGGTTTCTGCCCTAATAGGATCAGTCTTGTTGCTGTGACTGAAGGAAATGACTAGAAATTGTCAGTCTGGATAAAAGACAGTGAATATTGTCTACTGTAAGATGTGAAGGAAGAAAAGGTCAGCGATGATAAGTAAACAGACGAAAGTAATAAAATACTCCATTTATCAGGTCTCTTTCAACTTAAGAGTTCTAACCTGTGATGTACTATACACTGGGTCCCCCTTTCAAGACCTTGTGCTGTAAGGGTACAGTCTGTATGATGTGCAGAACACTGTTGACTCTGCGGTGTGTTGGGGTTAAGGCGTCACCCCAGCCCCTGGCACCCCTGTACCCAAAGAGTCTGGAATGTTTGGGTTAAGGCTTCACCTCAGCTCTGGCATCCATATATCCAAAAAATCTAGAATGTTTGGGTGGAAAGTTCCATTCCAAGTCCCCTCCCCTGGGAGTTGCCTCAGTTCAGACTCTGCCCCCGAAAAAGCCTGCCAAACGTTGACACCTCCTCAGAGATGCTCAAGACCACTCTCATAGGTATTTAAACAGCAACCAAGAGAACAAACATGTGGTTTTCTGGTCTTCCTTCCCCATCTCCTCTCTGAGGGCCTAGAAGTTCACCCAGGAGTGCTAGTATCCATTAAACCTGGGCTTTTTCTAATAAGATTTGATTTGGTCTGATTTGGATTATTGCGTCAGCAGAGAGGTTTATTGGGATGCAAAAACTTTTCAGGGTGGATGTCAACTTTTCTCCTCTGTAGTAAGCAAACTTCAAGAGTGAATCATGAGATATCATCTGCTTTGTTGAAACCAAATAAAATTGACTGCATGCTTTTGTAGACTTTTGTTGTGGTCGAAGGTTGCAAAGCCCTAGATTCCTTATAGTTTCCACTTGAGTTTCCAAAGGGCGGTGTGTGTGTGTGTGTGTGTGTGTGTGTGTGTGTGTGTGTGTGTGTGTATACATCCAGCAAAGTTCCTCCTTAGCCCTTCCTGAGAGCATCCTTCAAAAGATGTTCTCTGAAAAATCTCTTCAGTCCATAGCACCTAGAAGTAATTTCTCAAAGCAGTTAAAGAAGAATGGCCCATATTGTGAGATTGTGTCTCTCAGAAGTGACAGAAAAGCTTCTCCCATAATACTGACCAACACAGCTGCCTAAACAAGACGTCAACAATGACGGGATTAATTAATTAATTAATTAATAGGCATTCTAATCTGGAAGGCAGAAACCTCATCTCAAGGGATCCCACAACGTTAGACAAAAAAACTACAGACTGCGGAGGGGGAGAATTAGCCTCTCCCAGGGATGAGCCCCGGCTCAGTTATTCAATACAAAGTGGTTGGCCCTGAAATCATATACACAAAACAACGTTAAATGGATACAGCAGGTTGTATTTACATATGTAGTTATTATAGAAAAAGGCACTGTCGATTGGAGAGGGAGTTGGTGGGTATACTGGAGGCATTGGGGAAGGGAAGGGAACGTAGGGGTGGAGGAAGAAAAGGGAAGAGGGGAAGCAATGCAATTATATTTGGACATGTTTTTAAAGGGTCCATAAAGGTCAATCAGAAGTATACTCGATCTAAATTATAAATTTCTAAATATCCAATCAATGTCCGTGTTGGTTTCTTTTTAAAAGAATCTATAACGGAGAATCCCAAAAGCTCCAAGAATCTACATTTTAAACATCTAACCACAAGGTGGAGGTCTAAAGCAAAGCTCAGAAGCCACAACAGAGCTCCTTAGAAGCCAAGACTCTTTATCTAGCCTTAGAGTTCTCAGAAACTGCCCCAACTGACTTAGTATTTTAAGTTCCAGGAAGACAGGGATGATATGTCCGTGGCCTTTTGGAGGGAAAGCACACGTGGCACACGGGTATTCGAGGAAACCCTGACAAGTGCAATGTCAGGGGGTGAACTGAACACATCGATCATACCAGACACTCTGAGGTCTGACGTATTCATAACGGTGTTTAAAACTGTCATTATGTCAGTCAGTCATTCGTGAGTTCATCAACGAAAACTAGCGTGATATTTAACTTCCAGATATCTTTCGGTTGGTGTCGACTAACTGATTCCATTTACTCTGGCAGCACTGCCAGACTAGTGGCTTTAAGGATTCTGAAGCATGGGTATGATGGAGGTGTCACTCTGGTGTTACTTTACTTGGGTATGGCAATGTGTGACTTCCCACGTGAGCTCTGGTAAAAGTGAAACTTTTCTGCTTCCTTTTCAGACGAGCGGACTTAGTCAGTTCCCCAACTGCGCACCAAATGCCTGTGTCTGATTCACAAATTCAGAAGCTTCATTGTTTTTAAAGTAATCTAAATTTCTTCTGGTGTAAATATTCTTCCCTATAAAAACAAGTAACGAGCCAGGAAGTGGTGGTGTACACCTTTAAT